GAATGTTACCAAAGTTTGCATAAGACAGATCTTGGGAAGTTCTTATATTTTCAGGGTGATGTGTAAGTAGGCTTTTTCTCTAGGTGGTGGTTCCGAATTGTCCTTTCCCTGGGCACTTGGTTTTGCTAAGGGAAACCAGAGCAGTTTTACATTTGTGTAAGCCACCCACAGCCAAGTATATAGTAGTCCAAAAAGTCTGCTGAGTCATTCTGGAGGTGCAGAAACCTCAAGAAAATTAATGTGTCTGGCAACCTGATTGATACTCATTTAGTAAAGGTAGGACTTCCAGTGAAAAGGCTGCCTGGTTCCAAAGGAACCAAAGTAATGAATGATGATTCTATGTGCTGCTGAGCACCACTTGCAGAGTACTGACAAAACTCAATCCTATTTGAATCATTGCAAATTGACTCTGTTGTTTGCTTTAACTTTGTATTGGAGCACTGTGAGGTTGAAGTTGTTTTGAAGGAGTGGGTGAGGCTGAGGTGCAACTGCCAACAACAGAGTGCTGCCTGCTTTGAATCCACCTGTGTTAGTTACTGTGTCTGGGTTAAAGGAGTGACCATTACCAATCTGGTAGCAACTCTTTGTCTCTTAGAAGAATCAATGCAGGGAACTTAAAGTCTAGTCTTCCTCATACAGCACAAAAAATGGGAGCTCTGTAAGAAAGAGCACTATCTAAATTGTAAGTTGCCTCCTATGGTGGGCTTCTGGTGACTACATGACATCCAACAATAAGAACACAACATATCTGAACTACTGATGCTCTACATAGTTGATGGAGATGTCACTACAGTTAGCAGACAACCTGTGGTGTGACAAACTGTGTCATATCTGCTGAGTGCAGAAAGAACACTGAGGGACTAGTTCTGCCATACTGAAAATTGCAGCATTAGTGCAGATCGTGCCAAATTATGCCAGAGTCTGTAGATGTCAAGTAAGATGAGCTGAAACATTCCTTCAGTGACTGCAGAAGAATGTTTCATAGCATGAATTGGAATTGCATACCCTTACTTTGGTGAACCTTGCCCACTTAAGAAATTCCATTAAAGTTTATACAGTTTATCCAGGTAAAATCCACAGAAAGAGTATTTTATGTACTTGCCAGTGAAGTAAGAAGAAAAAGAGTATACATGTACAGAAGCACTTGTGCTGAATAAAAGGCACCTTTTAAAGTATAGTTCCTTCCCTGTTCCTCCCCGCCAAATTACTGTATTTTTTCCATGAGCAAAATCACTGAATTGCCTCTGCACACCATTAAAAATCCCTCTCTTGCTAGACTGGTATTTGACACTAGTTTACAATGGATGTTGCTGGAGCCCGATGGAATACTTGGCTTACTGGCAGAAAGATGCAGTTGCCAACTTCTGGGAGAGACTCTCTTGTGTGCTAGTAAATAAAAACTCTTGAGAGTTACTGCAGGCAAGGATAGATGATGTAAAGCTGAGGCTGTCAATTTAAAGGTTAATGTCATGTTGGAGTCAGAGAGGTAAGAAATTAATATCTTAGCAGTATGAGTTTGGCTCATATGGTCTTCCTTCCATAACCTCTCAGTGTATTTGCATGTGCAAAGTCTTGAATACTAAAGTATTTGTTGTCTTGCTCTGCTGGAGAAGAGTTGACAGTAGCTGTTACTAAACCAGATGTGTGGCATTGCTGAGTGAGTTGAGCAGTCCCCCCCTTGTAACAAGTGATTTCTGTGTTAAGCTGTTAAACACTCACATTACAGCCACCTGTCACATGGAAGATGAAATTTGCACTTAGATTTTCCTGTCTTGTTCAGTAAAGAATATCAGAATTATTCTAGGTGACAAAAAAGGGATTAAGCCATTAAGTAGTGGTAATGCTCACCTATTGTGAAGGTAAAGTTATGACCACCTTTATAAATTCTCAGGACAACTTGACTGCTTGCACTGTGTTCAAATCACCCTTAAGCACTTCCCTTTTAATGAGGATTTTGTAAAAGTGAATTCTTCACAAGGGTTATTGTCATATAATGCACTTTTTAAAACCTGTATTTATTATAGTTACACAATAAATTAATGTCTAGTAGTCCACAGTTACAAGGTTTTTTCAAGCATGTTTTTCAAATAAATGTAAGGAACCCATGGTAAAGGAAAAGAGGTGGTCTTTCCTGATTACGTGTCTTGTGCAGAATAAAGTACAATACACAATATATCAGTAAAGCACACATGCTAGACAAAAGGTCTTTTTGTTTTACTGGAGAGCTGTTTTAAAACCAATAATAAAACTACAGCTATTGTAATACAAAAGATTGCAATAAAAGCTTGTCACAATTTTATGTTGTTTTTGTCAATGGTATTCCTCTTAACAGTTAAGAAAACTCCTGAGGCAACCTAGTGCTCAGTTGTCACTTTCAGAGCAACATACTCGGGAAAATTAGGTGGTTTGAAGTTGATAAAAATACAGTGATTAGTCTCCATAGCTGCAGAAATTACCAGGCTGCCACTTCTTCCATGGGGTTTCTTGTAGTTTCACGGTTCTGTGAAATGCAGCACCTGCAGGATTAAGATCTAATGTTGGAAAAAGGCACAATGCCAATTGATTTTACTATGGTTTAATGGAAAAGAAGAGAAAGGGGTTTTCCTCTAATAGCACTTTCCAAAGCTGTGCTGAACTGTACTTAACTCATTAATTTCAGAGCCTCACAGTTGTGTTATTCTTTCTTCCATTTGTTCTTCCAGTTTTCATTGCTGCAGTTTTTCCCCCCTCTCAAACCATGTTCTTTTCACTCAAAGGTTTCTCGAAAATATGTCTATATAGGGTGTGTTAAGCAACATCTACAGCAACTTATTTATCCTCTATATGAAATGTATCTCCATCAGTGTCAAGCATTTTCTTGCTACAGTTCAAGATCTGAATGAGCTGTTGCCAGGTTTCTTCTAAAGCAAAACAGACATTTAACAAGAAGGCAAAGGGAATAAAGACATATACTACCAATGACTCTTTAATAATTGTTAATAATTTCATCACTGCTCAGCAGAAAGATGATTATTGCAAATCACAGTTAAAATACATAGAAATACCTGTATTATCCCAAGTTGTTTAAGAATGTCAACGTCATTTTTTATTACAAAGTATACGTGTTATAAATATATGCATGTAGAGGCATAATGAAGGTGCTTTTACAAAGCACAGTATTACAATACCTTTATGATTGTTTTTCCCTTTCCCTATATTACTGATCTGAATCAGAACTAGCACTACCACCTTAAATGTCATACCCATTAAAATAGAGTATTAAGCATTTCAGACTAACCAGAAGACCAGCAAAGGATAGAGTCATCTTTGATTTTAACAAATCACCTGAAAATAATGTACTTTTTTTTTTTTAGCCTGGGGTGTGTGGGGAATTCTGTAAGAGTATTCCAGGTATTTGCTGTGAACATCCAACTATTTGGTTTATCTTACAGGTGTTAGTGTTATTTTTACATTTAGTTTCAAATCCATAATTTCTTTGTATTTATCTTACAAAGAAAAATAATAAATTCCCACTTGTACTAATAGTAATGGGCTAAGAGTCAACTGTAACTTGATTGAGTGCATCACCAGTGGTTAGTGCAATGTTATGTTCATGTTACAGCATTGCCTGCTGAAGACACAGTGCACCAAGTCTGAAATGATTAGTCATTTGTCAGTGTGAGTCTAATGTTAGTACTGACTTTTGTCCTGATTTGGCTTTCTCCTTATGATCTCAGGTCTGCAGCTATTCCAGCTGACACTTGATATTAAAACTCATGGCATCAATGCTTCTGACCCTTCTCAGCTCGACACAGAATGGCAGCTGAGCCAAAGATTCATTATACTGGCCAGTACAATGCCTGTAGTAAAGTTAAATATTAGTGCTACATGGTGCTAGCCTACCCTAAAGAGAGCTTCAATTTCCTCTGAAATGTTGTAGTTGCCATGTCTCTGGTCCAAATAATTTCACTGATTATTCCAGACTGTTTAAAGCATAACTTGATGAAAATTCTGCTTTCCATTGACCTCCTTCTGCTAGACCAAACAGAACAGAAATAAGAGAATGTGAAATGAACATCCTGGAGCCTCCAAGTCACGTCAGTGTACCTCGTGCAGGAGGAGAAGTGTATGATCCACTTCTCCTGTACTCTATGGCTCACTTTTCTTTTGCTATAGAATGAGTAAAGCTGTTTTCTTTACAAGATCTGAAAATCTGTGGGTAGAGTCTATGCCTGTGTGTGACTGGCATTGTGACTGGTAAGGGAAAGCATCAAATGCAAATTAGCTCTTATTACTTTTGCTTCATATGATGAAAGTAGAATTCAAAATTCTGTTTTAATAGAAAGCTTTTGATTGCTCCAAGTTCCTCATGGAAACTTGTCCCTAGCATGTTTCTCAGTAAAGCTGTACTTCTGCAGATCTGTGCTTCTTCAGACCACCCCCCACCCCAACAGCAGTTAATGCTGCAGTCATGTAGCTGAGCGTGTCTCCTGCAAAACCCTCAGCACTTCTCACTCCCATGGCATCAGCTCCGTGCAGACACCTCAATTCTCTTACCACATCACTTGCTTGAATCACAGTGACATCTGGTGGTATTTTAAATACTTCCTGTACTGCTGTTTTGCCTTTTACAGTATTGATTTGTTTGTTCTTTTTTCTTTAGAAAGTCAGTGGTGTTACTCTATTGACAACTGCTGCAGGTTTCTCTGCTGTGATAAGTGATTATTCTCTTGAGTTTGCTACTTACTCTCGGTATGGATGGAGCAGCTTCCTGATACTCTAACTGCAACGTATGAGATTCGTGCTGAATTTTATCACCTGTATTTGTGATATGAGTGATAGACACACCAGTGTCACTCCAGTACAGGTGAAGCCCCACTTTGGAACTGTTGGATTTCATTTAAACGTGTTCCTCAGTTTCCTCTCTGATAAAGATCACTCATGTCAGTAGAAGCCCCTTATCAACAACAGACCCACATCCGAGTTCCTCTATCTGTTCTACCTGATGGAAGTGAAATGGGTCTGAATTAGGCATATGAATTATACTGATTTAGCAAACTTACGCCCAGTAACTCTTGTCTATGCACTAAAATTAGCGTTCTAAATACTGGTTATCAATAAAGGCGATTTGTAATGTAAAAGAACAGTGGAGTCCCCGTGTGAGCAGGCGCAGCGTTGTGACAACGTGGCTGTTGCACAGCAGTGAAACCACGCGGCAGGGGGTGGCTGCCTTTTCCCTTTCCCCTTCCCCCTTCCCTTTCCCCTTCCCTTTCCCTGTCCCTCCCGCGGTCTCGCTGCCCCGGT